CGTTAATCGTGCATTTTGTTCCTAAGTCTCTCCCCCTTTTGCTAAAAGTCATTCCATTGCTGATATAAATGTATGTAAAGACATGTTTAAAATGCTATTTTGAAAAAATTCAAATTGAAGAACAGATCTGCTTTAAATTTGATCATAAAAGAAAATTTGAATTTTCATGATTTATAACAATATATGAAACATGTACCTCTACTACAATGCTTAGTCCTCGGAAATATATTACAAAGAATTTTAATGAAACATAATGAAGGGTTATCGAGAAACATTGAGATCATACTGTAAAGAAAATGCATATCTATTCACTTTAGAAAGATCATTACACTACACATTATTTATGTCTGTCTGCCTACCACTCATAATTAGAAATAGAACAACTCCTCCATAAAGATAAAATAGGTCATTTATTGAATATAAATGACAATAAACAAATAAAATACACACAATAGCCTGTTGCATGAAATACACAGTATGCTCAATCAAAAAGCATGCAACTAGGCTAACAGTCCTACTAAGAAAAATACAAGATTGCATGAACATATCCTGCATCTGCTAAAAAGTTATGTACAACATGTAAATGTATATGTTTAAGTAAAAAAGTAAAAAATACTTGGACTAGTACATTAATGGGACTAGAAAAAACAATAACATTACACAATGCCAAATATGTTATGGGGCGTTACATCGCCTAAAACATAACATTAAGAGAAGTCTAGTATATAAACATAGCTCCAGGAGGAGGGGTGGGTGGTGGCAGACTGATTCGTGCTGTTTACAAGCGGGGATTATTAATGCGCATGCGCAATTCCGTCAATATTGATATTATGTAAACAGTCAAGTTAAAAATAGCATTGAACTAAGGAAGACACATGGCAACATACATAAACCATTTATTACCATAAATTATTTTTAGGCAGTTTTCATGCTTAGAAATACGACAGATACCTAATTAATCCTTAAAGTAGCTTATATCACGGATAGGATAAAGGAAAGGGGACTTTTTAAAAATAAAATAATGAGTTCAGTATGGAAGGAACGGGCGAACACTTTGTATGAAAACCGATTGTTTTTAAATAATGAAATGCATAATGATAACAGTTTTCTATCTCATCAAAACCACAGACAAGGCAAGACAGTGAAAATATCCCTACGAGGGCTGTCCAATAAATAATGTCATGAGCTCGATGACATACAACATATATAGATATCATATGACAATAAAGTTTAACTTTCTTTCATTTTTTAATCTTTAATGAATTAAAAACAGTTTATCTGACCACTTTTCATCACATAGTTTCATTGTGGGAAGCTAAAACACAAGGGCTAGTAGAGACACTAGAGAGATGTCTATTTTATACACAAGTGAGCATGTGAATTTTAATGAACAAAAATGACATAACGGGCATCAAAAATGTGTATCTTTTCCTGGCGTCAAGGACTTACAATAACCAATGTAATGTTTGCAAAAATTCAACAAATTATCACTGATTATGTTTGATTGACGTCTTAACGACGCTAAGCAAATTTGATTTGCATTATTTTTGGGGTAGTTCACAATATATTAATGTACCATTTGACAATAAAAAATCTGAATACTCAAAAGGTCACCATATGTTTTGAAAAATAAGTGAAAACGACAGCGTGTCAGAATATCTAAACAATTTATTCATCAATCAAAAATTGTACTCATCCATGATTGTCTGAAATTCAAACAGATAATGAAACTTGAATCCATTGCTTTTTACCTTCAAAGCAAATTTACAATAAGATGCACTTGACAAAACAGCAAAAGCCTGAAAAGAGCAAAGAGTGGCAAGAGCACAAAACTATTTTTATATTTTATTTTCTTAAATATTAGTGGCATTGTTGTTCAAATTCTTATTCTGGGAGGCAGTTCATTTTCTGGAGGAATCTAGAAAGCAAACGTTTTTGTAAAAAATTCAAAGGTTTAAGAGAGAAAGGAACCAGAGTCAGGTTTCAAATCCATAAAATTTCTTCAGGACAGCGTAAGAACCCACATGTCATATAAAGTGAAACGGAAAGTTAATGTTTTGTCATACTAGCAATATTCGCTGGATCTATCAACCTTTGACCCGTTTCATTTTCCAAACTTGAAAAAAAAATTTAGAAAAAAGTAAAGGAAAAGATAGGACCTGCCATATTTTAGATACGAAGTGCCAGACTCAAAATTGTGTTCTAAGAACAATTAGAAATTTGATAAAAATGTTTACAGACATGTGTTTAAATTAAAAAGAAAGCATTTATTTATTTAAGTGAAGTCATTAAGACTAAATCATTAAAACCTTTTTTTTTGTTTCTATCTGAGCATCGACGGATATCCCAAAATTTTAAGTTTAGGATCGGATGCCTAGATGGACAACATCTCCTGTTGATCATTCACAAACCGTCGAGAGCATTGATTGGGTAGATAGGACATTCTTTAATGAGATTTGGTATACAACGAAGCATTGTTTAGGCCTCAAAAAGGGGCGTGGCTTTACTTTTTACGGGAAATGTTTACTTTGACATCACAGAAATATAGATATGTCTCATAATACAAACCTGTTGATACATTAAAAATAGCTGTTAAATAAACCCAACACAGTATACAAAATACTGATAGCAACGAACTGGTCGACTTGACATCATTTTGGTAAAAGTGACGTATTTTATGCACTGTGAAAAACAGATCATTGACATGTTTTTTTTTTATATAGTGAAAAACGCATTTTATTATATAAAAGAATATTATTTATAGATTTTAGGTAGGCTATTGATAGCAATGTAAAACCTTTGTTTAATGTGATAATTCAATAAATATCGAGAGAACGTATTTAATGAATTTTAATGTGTTTTTGGTACAGGTTTCGCATATTTAACACTAGATTTTTTGACGTCAACATAAACTTGCAAGTACATTAATAGCTATCTGTTTACTTTACCCACTGATGAATGAGTTGTAATGCATTATGGGTTACAACAAGTACTCTGTTGTGTTGAAAATAAATGGCAACTTTAACTGTCCCTTAGAAACTCATTTTCATTCCTTTTTTTAGATTTATGCAAGAAATATTTTAAATGATGTACAATCTTTTATTTCAATGCTCACTGTGATTTACAAATTTGCCGCTTTATGAAGCCTTATATCAACTTATAATACATCGGCTTAAACCATTGTTCAAAGAGATGTAGGTGCTATCGTGTCGATAAAGCACTGAAAAGTTTTTATTTTCTCACACGTGATATATGTGTATATAGTTTTAGACAGCAGTACAAGTTGCGCAAATATTATTTAACCCATCAACAGTATCAACAAGCTAATTCAGAGAATTCTTGTCCTCCGCTTAGGGAAAAAGTCGGCTCCCCCTGACTGAATTTGTAGAATTATTAAATGTATACATGTGTACTGAAGCAAATAAATTACATGTATGTCAATATGCATATAAAGATTTGATTGCTTATTCTTCATTATGTGTATAGAAGATTTTTTTATATGGAATTTTTATCACACTGTAATGATGATTTTATAACCTCATAAATTTTTCATTTCACATGCTGAATACTATCTTTTAGTAAAAAAAAAAAAGTATTTAAAAAAAAAAAAAAAGAAAGGTTCGACCGAGATTTGATCCCGGTACCTTTCGCACTTGAAGCGAGATACATAATCACTAGACCACGGAATCGCTTTACAAAGTGTGAAGTATATGCAGAAGTGAAGTCACATACATGTATATATTCATGTTTTCATGTTCGGTATTCTCAAAATTTTACACAATCCATGGTGTTTGATTTATTTAGCCTTTATTAAACAGTTCTAATAGATGTAATAAGAACATAAAGTCCGCCGAGAACCTGTTTTATTCGCAATAACTCTCCTCATGCCCCTGCGCTAAAAATAGCGGCATATAATACTATAAATACTAATAAAACAAACGGGGCGGGGCACTTTGAGAGGGGTGAGAGACGTCCTAGGAAGTTTTGATATTAAATTACATTGCATAAGCTCAAAATCTTCTTGAAATATCGCCCGGAAATAATAGTATTTCACACAGACAGAATGTATAAATTTACGACCTTGAACTTTGACCTTTTGACCTCAAAATCAATAGGGGTCTTCAATAGGCCACAGGGAGTTGTTATATAAAATTTCATTGCAATAGCTCAAATGGTTCTAGAGATAACGTGTGGAAAGGAAAGTGTTTTAACAGACAGAATTTGCTTATTTATGACCTTGACCTTTGACCTTTTGACCTCAAAATCAATAGGGGTCTTCTTTAGTCCACAGGGAGTTGCTATGCTAAATTTCATTGCAAAAGCTCAAAAGGTTCTCGAGATATCGTATGGAAACGAAAGCGTTACAGACAGACAGAAAGACGGACGGACGGACGGACAAACCCAAATTAATATCCCCCACTTTTCAAGCGGGGGACAAAAAGATTTTTATGTACATGCAAATATTATTTAACCCATCAACAGTATCTAAAAGTTTATTTGTACATGCAAATGTCAAAGCGTTTTGTACGGTATTTGAAGCAACTATTAATCATCTAAAACAATTCCAATATTAAACGTGAGCATGGAGCAGTGTCTTTGAAATATAATCTTTCAATTTTGGACTTATAAAGTGATAAAGAACCTGTACAGTTTTTCCGCTGACAAAGTAAATATTGTGCACTAAACCTACGATGTAACTGATGTAAGTTACAGCTAAAAAAATAATGTATATTTTTAAGATTATATAACCTACATGGTACCTTGGAATTGTACTTTAGGCGTTAAATATACTTTAATTTATCCCTTTAGAAAGGATAAACAGAATCGTTTACCTGCATAAAGAAATATTACTGATTACAAAGTGTTTTTATGTGATGTTTACGTAGAAAAATGTTCTTTTCCCTTTTGATACATTGAGGAGATCCCTGTCATTCTAACTAAGATGCATCAAGTTTAAAATATTGTGATATAAACTTTTTAATCCCATTAATTTTATTCAGATTGTTGGCTTAGACTGCTGTATCTTTTCGTACCAATCACTGGAGTCTATAACTATGAATTCAAAAAGTATTGATAAATGTTCTGTTAATGATGTTGAAAAGATTGTCTTTGTTAAAATTTTGGTTTTGTTGAAAGATTTTCTTTGGAATAATTTTTCAAAATTGCTATTAATTTTTATAATACGTTAGATTCCTATGACTTATCACTGACAAGAAATACAATGCTGTTTTTTGACAAATACGCAAACCCTTATTATTTACAGTTATATTTGTCTTGGTGATGCAGCGGAATTTCTCAACGCAGAAGATTTAGTATGCAGAAGTACGCTAGGAAAAGTAAAAGAGTGGTTAACGAGTAATTATTCGTTTTAAATAAAATGTACCTAGCATTATTAAATCTATTTATTAAATCTGTATAAAACGAATGAAAATTTGTTTACATGTTCAAACTCCTCGATAATAACTTCATACTTTATCAAATCTAATAAGTATGTCTTGACTGGGTTTAAACATATTTCAAGGATATATCTCTTCAAAGGTTTTTTTATTTCTCTCAAATATGAATTTTCGTTTCATAATTAAACATGGTAATTTATGATACATTTTAAAGAATCACTTTTTTATGATAAATTCAGATTAACTTCGAGACATCTGTAAGACTGATGATTTGAAACATGTGAAGATAACAGACAATATTCAAAAATCAAAAGTCCATAATAGAATAAAAAACAAGAGCAGAGCAAACATGGAACTCCAAAATATCAGAGGTGGGATCAGATGCCATGAAAGACTTAGTCCGAAAAATCTGACGTTTTCTGGCTTTTTTACGATTTTGATATTTTACATGCCAGGAAAACGTCAGAACCGGCGCCATTACGAAAACTGGGAATTTCACCGTCTCCAACCGAAGTTGATTTTCTATACTTGGGAACCGAATTAGATGCCGAAATCACAATTTATCAATGGCACAATACTACTAGAACTCACCAATAGCGATGAATAGAAATTACCACTCCTCATTCCGATTCAGAACTTGCACGATTTTAAAATGCACGAAATGAAAACAAATCTCGACAGTCAGATAAAATGTGTTCATCGGATTATATTATTTCATAAACGAAACAAAAAAACGATGTTGGTGAGTACTAAAGGTTTTGTACTATTGATAATATGTGAATTCAGCATTTAATTCGGTTTACAAGTATCAAAAATCAACCTCTGAATGCCGCCTCCGGTTGGAGGCGGCGATTTCCCAGTTTTCGTAATGGCGCCGGTTCTGACGTTTTCCTGGCATGTAAAATATCAAAATCGTAAAAAAAGCCAGAAAAACGTCAGATTTTTCGGACTATGAAAGACTGAGCATCCCCTGCCGACGGTCACATCCACCATGTGCTCCATTTCATGATCGGGAAATAACGGGAAAATCGGTCGCCAATTCAGTTTATTAATAATGGACTAACAATAAGTATGAAAAACGTCAGTCAGCATTTGAATGAATGATTCATTGTTAAATGAAAGTGAAATATTACAGTTGACACCAAGTTATTATTCGATCGATATTTTGGTGAATTTAGAGAAAAAAGATTATATGATTTCCTGAAATATCATCCGCGTGTGAACATAACAAATCAATTTCTTTAGTATTGAATCTCAAATAAGTGGAATAGATTATGCTCCATTATACCCGTATAATAATTGATATACTCCCTTAAACTACATTATATTTTGGACCTAAAGGATGTGTCAAAATTATTCAAGAATGTATTTTTCATCTTAAGAGTTTTTAGCTCACCTGAGCCAAAGGCTCAAGTGAGCTTTTCTGATCAAAATTTGTCCGTTGTCTGTCGTTGTCGTCGTCGTCGTTGTCGTTGTCGGCGTTGTCGTTGTCGTAAACTTTTCACATTTTCATCTTCTTCTCAAGAACCACTGGGCCAATTTCAACCAAACTTGCTACAAAGTATCCTGGGATGAAGGGGATTCAAGTTTGTTCAAATGAAGGGCCACGCCCTTTTCAAGGGGGAGATAATCATGAATTAGAGAAAAAATAAAGGCATTATTAAAAAATCTTCTTCTCAAGAACCACTGGGCCAGAAAAGATGAAACTCATATGGAATCATCTTCAGGTAGTGTAGATTCAAGTTTGTTCAAGTCATGACCCTCGGGGATAGGGCGGGGCCAAAATGGCCGATCAAAATTTTACATAGGAATATATAGGAAAAATCTTTAAAAATCTTCTTCTCAAGAACCACTGGGCCAGGAAAGATGAAACTCATGTGGAATCATCCTCAGGTAGTGTAGATTCAAATTTGTTCAAATCATGACCCCCGGGGGTAGGGTGGGGCCAAAATGGCCTATCAAAGTTTTACATAGGAAATATAGGAAAAATCTTTTAAAATCTTCTTCTCAAGAACCACTGGGCCAGGAAAGATGAAACTCATGTGGAATCATCCTCATATTGTGTAGATTCAAGTTTGTTCAAATCATGACCCCCGGGGGTAGGGTGGGGCCAAAATGGCCGATCAAAGTTTTACATAGGAATATAGAGGAAAAATCTTTTAAAATCTTCTTCTCAAGAACCACTGGGCCAGGAAAGATGAAACTCATATGGAATCATCCTCATGTAGTGTAGATTCAAGTATGTTCAAATCAGGACCCCCTCCCCCCCCCCCCCCCCCCAACACCAAGTAAACTTTCAGTTCTGATCTGATATGTGCTTTTTCCTTGCCAATTGCTCAGGTGAGCGATGTGGCCCCTGGGCCTCTTGTTTTTCATTCAATTTGTAAGACCTTTTTTTATTATAATAAAACAGAGGGTCCTGTGTGTACTTAATTAATATATAGGTCTTAAGGCGGGAGTAAGTAGTCAACTGTCAAATTTACTCCACCTTGGCACCTGATCCCACCTTTTGAATTTCCATGGTTTTGTGTGTATGTACTGTTTACAGATTTCTATTTTCTAAAATTCAATTTAGTACAGCTCAATGCACTTTTTCAGCTCACATCGTTTTTCGAACAAATTGACGTCACATTGTCACAATGCGAAATTGCGTGACAAGGCAACAAAATATATTATAATAGGCATTTCTAACTTACTTTTAAACGCAGCATTGTTAAGACTTGAAAAAGGGGGCGGGGCCTAATATATACGGGGAAAGTCTACTATGACGTCACACAAAATTATGACTTTTAAGTATTTCTCATAATACCTGATAATGAAATAATATGCAACTTTTAACTGTATTAGCATAATAAACAACAATACAACTTATCAATGCATTAAAAAAAGTTACCAGTTAAATCCCATGTAGCTGGTTATAAACAAAGCACTGATCGTAATGAACTTGTAAACATGACGTCACATTGGTAAAATGACGTATTTCGTGTGCTGTGAGAGGCAAATTGAGAAATTTTTTAACAATGAAAAATGCGTTTTATTATTAAACAGAATATTATTTACAGGTTTTAATAGTCGATTAATACCAATGTTTATTCTTTGTTTTGTGCGGTTATTAATTAACTACCAAGAGAATGTATTTTATTAATTATGTCGTGTTTTCATGCACAGGTTACGTATATTTTACATCGAGATGCCTCATAAAATCGTACTTTCGCAAGGGCATACACTGCATAGATCTGAATCATTTTTTGAATATAGATAAAGGATATTATCCTTAACTTGAAAAGTGCTGCTGCTTTCTTTAAATCGAGGGCGAGATTTTATTAGTACATAAAATATTTGGTAAAAATCAAACATATTTCGACATTGGCCTATTTACTTGAAAATTCAACTATTAAAACGCGAATTCTATTCAAAGCAGCAGCACTTTTCAGAAACTACAAAGTATGCAAAAACAATTAATAGCTTGAATTTTTTATTTCAACAAGGGTATGCCCTTGCGATATTGAAATTTGTTAATGACCTTCATTCAGTGCACAAACTATGCATTTATCACGTGACTGTCCATTGATGGGACTAAACTTCATACAGTACAGAGTGGGTTATACTATGCTATTTCCATAAGTATTAAAGTTCTGTGATAATAAAACAGCTAAATTAAAATAAATTCAATTTAAAAAAAAATCCCCCTTTTTTGCACGTCTATTTTCCGTTGACTTCTCATAGTAGGCCTTAACAGTGCTGCGAATTTATTTAACTAACTTAAAACATAATTCATAGATAATTATACGTAGGATTTTGATATACTCTTGGCTGATGGATTGTGATAGTTCCCAAATGGTTTTTCGTAGTTTCTCGTCAAATGTAGCCATCTATGTACCCGTTCTTTGTAAAGCAGTTCTTTGCCTTGCATTGACTCAAAAACAGTGCAAATCATGTAATTTTTGTTTTTCTGTACAATAACATGACTCTATAAAGCGCAAGATGATAATAGTATTTCACATTAGTTCGACTGCGTCTCATGTTAAAAAGCTGGTATTTTGTTAAGGTTACTTTCTGAATCTAGCATCGTAAAAGATACTTCCGACTGCAAAATTCTAAAGTTTAAGACCGTTAATGTAAACGAATTTTATTTTAAATGGTAACAATTTACTACTTCAAAATATGAACAATACTTTTTTAACTTGTCTTTTGGCATGATTTCTTTGGGCAGCATTGTCATTTCTTTGCCTTACATTTCGACAAAACCACGTCAAGTATGGAAAATGTGCAAAGTAATTCGTAAAAATACTCATATTCAAGATTTTAAAAATTCAACTTAATAGTATCAAAGAAAGATGGGTTATTTCAATTTGTAAATACCTATGTGAAACCAAAAAGATGTAACAGCCTATCATTTATAAATTAAGTCTCATTAATATTGACTATAAAACTTTAAGATGATGAATCTAAAGAATATGTACCTTTAACAAAAGGTATTAAATACATTTTAGAGCTACGTCTCGTATTGAAGGTCGGTAATGTTCATTTTATTGAAAAAAAGAATGTTATCTTAATTTGTGCGAAAAAACATGTGAGGTTAAAAAGTGCGTTGAACTGTATATTTATTGTTTTAGGGTGTGTGTGTGTAATGGGGGGGGGGGGGTAGTTCATTGTTCATTAACCTTGTTCTCTGAGACATGAGGCGTCTTTTTGTTCACTGATTAAGTTAAATAGGTCTTAAATGTATCGTAGTGTATGTATTTCATGATTTATAGATATGCATTTAAAATTATATTCAGCAAGTGTCATTTTTACCATTTTAGATAAATCAAACGATGCAAAATGTGGCTCGAACGCAGTTTCCGAAGTTTCTTTCAAATACGATGATGCCAGAAAGGATTTTCAAAAATTTTCTTTTCATACAGCAAAACTACAAATCTTAAACGAGGATAAAGTCAAGTCATTTACAACTTGGAAACCAATTGCTTGTGCTAATGCTCGGGATCGTACATTTGGAACATTTTTCATCAATTTGAACTGGCAGATTAATGGTAAGAACTTTTTTGTAAAGTTTTTATCTGTGTTTATGGGAAATATTATTAAAGAAATATATAACTATATAATTTGTCTTCTTTTCACAAAATCTTAGGATTATAAATTGAAAATGTGAATTTTCAAAAAAAAAAGGAATATATCTAGTGGAAGATTGCAACCATAGCATAAAATTATAAAAGTAAAAAGTTGGATTCAACAAGAAAGAACGAATACAGTAAATATAAAGGGGGCATCCCCAGCATAGATACATGATTGTATTTAATCTGATTTGTACCCCCCTCCCCAAAATAAAATTTTGTTTTACTGCAGAAAGATCAAATAATGATTTTTGCGTGTAAATTTCGTATAAGTATTTTTCGGTAATTGGAAATAAAATGTTGGAAAATATACAAAACCGATTCAAGTGACAAACCGAAAAGCTGCAATTTAATTCTAATATTAACAAGTTGATTTTTCTATTCCTCTCTAAGAAGCTTGCCCTTCATTTCTTAAGCGATTTTGAGTCCTGTTTTATTATGATTATAAGCTCTTATATATACTTTTTTCGATAAATCCTCCAATTAATAAAATTTCTATCATGAGAAACATACTTTTAACAATGCCAACAATAATAATGTCAATCTTTTTAATACTATTAAAGAAAACGTTTTGTGTTTTCAGTAGAAATTAAGGATAAGATCATTTAAGGGTTCAAACAGATTACTACAGGGTGATCCAAAACATCTGATACCATTTTGAATTTTCGTAACTTCGTCAATAATCATTCTACATATTTTATTTATACATCATTTTAAATTGCTTATCCTATCATTTTAATAAATATAGAAAAACGGAAAAAAGTTGACGTCGCCATGACGATATGACGTCATAAAAGTGTTATTGTTTATTTCACATGGATATGTCAAATCAGAGAGCTGCCAGAAATTGTCCAATTATATTTTGAGACACATTCATCCAAAACAGTGATTCGTATCATGAGAAAAAGTTATGCATTGGGCACTAAGCTTACAAAACTGCAGGTTAATAAGTTAATGAAGAAATTTCAAAAGACTGGTTTAAGAGAAGATGCTCATTTGAAAGACATTTGAAGGCCCAGTACAATGAAAACTTTTGAATCGGTTGCAGTTGTTAAAGAACTGATAACGGAAACGTCACAAAAATCAGTGAGAAGTGTTATGAAAAATTCAGGAAACAGGCCCAGTTATGGAAGTGTGTACAGAACTTTAGTGTATAAGATAAAAAATTTTCCTTGTACAGTGCCTATGATTTATTTCCTACAAGATGGAGGAACCCCAGATACATCATCAGAAAAAATTCTTAGATGGTTGCAGAAAAATATTCAGTAATTTCGTTCAGGACTGACTGTGTTTAAGTCCACAGAATATTTTTCTGTGGGGATTTTCAAGGGAAAAGGTGCATACTTTAAAGCCAAACACCTTTTAGTATCTGAAATCAGCAGTTACCCGGGAAATTCGGAAAGTTACACAAGAAATGACGAACTCGTGATTGAACAAAATGGACGTCACGTAGAGCATGTGCTGTAAATAGCAGCATTATTTTGGGACTGTATTATTATTTAAAAGAATGTGTATAAAATGTGTGGCATGTATTGTATAAAATGTTATAACATATGTAAAAATTTGAAATATTTCAATAAAGAGTGTCATGATTTTTTAAAGAATTATTATCACTTGAAATGGTATCAGATATTTTGGATCACCCTGTACAATCTATATCGTTAAATTATTATATTAAATTTCTCTATTATGTAAGTGTAATCTAGGACATTAACTTTGTTTTAAATTATATTTCGAGAACAATTAATTTTATATTATTGTACTTGAATCTGTTGAATGTTTTTTGGAGTTTAATATTTAATGCTCTTCTTCACCCTCAACTTTTTAAAAAAGTTTTTTAGTACCGGAGTATTTTCTTCAAGTAAAATAATTTGGAAAAAAAATAATGTAGATATCAAATTTTCAGTCATGATATTACAACTTTAAAATCAAAAACAAATATATAAATTTTGAAATTGTTTTCATTTCATGTATACATTAAGTTTGAAAATTTAGTATACTCTTATGTTTACAAATCTCTACCGTGATTAAAATACATATTTATAGAATGTAAAAATATTTAATCATCAGCTCCTTTTTTGTGCAAAAGTTTTGTGTCTTCTGCAAAGGCCTATTTGTATGACAATTTATGAAACAAAGGTGAATGAATCACAAAAAGTGACTTAGGAGTTTCTTTTAATTCCTCAAAATCACAAAACTCCTGCTTTTAACATCAAATTGTAATGATCAAATTAAAACTCTAATCAATAGTGATTTCTAATGGGGTTTCTAAAAAGAATCAATATCTGATAACATAAAGTATGAGAAATAAGAAACAAATTTTTAATAACTATGCATATTTTGATTCTTCAATTGGCCTTTTTTTTTCATTTCAAAAGTTGATTTAAAACTGGGAGAATCATGTAACGAAGATAATCAATGCATAAAAACTGGTTACAACAGACATTGTGACAGAACATTTTCCATTTGTTCGTGTATAAATGGATTTACAGAAATTAATGGTCATTGCTTGAAAAGTAAGTTGAAAGAATTAGCGTTTTCCCTCTTTCTTTTTTTCTTATTTATTGATTTTAAGAATTATTCTCATTTTTAAAAAAACCTTTATAAATTCCTTTATAAGAAATCATTTTCTTTGTATCTTGATTTTTTTTTTTTCGGTAAACATGTTGAAGTGTCTTGAATACTTTTTCTCGTATAATATTGAGCTATATATTTATTTGAATAAACGATAATAAACTTGTAAAATACAACATTTTCAAGTTATAAAAATTTATTATGCTATAAGACGCAATTCTTATTTCAAATGGTTATTTAGGTGGATTGAAAGTTAATGACACCTGTTTATATGATGAGCAATGCAATAAAACAACCAATAGTACTATCTGTAGAGAACACGTTTGTGTCTGTATGACGGATTATATTTATAAAGATGGAATATGCCAGCCATGTAAGTCATTGAAAAAAATAATATGACCATGTCACGCACAAAGATATTAATGCACAAAGATGAGCAATATGTTATTTTGAAAGTAGGCAACACGGTTTGTCGCGACGCACTTTGAAAAGAGCACGCTCTTTGAAAAAAAAAAACAATTTCAAAGTATATTAAAATTGGGGAAAAATCAGCACACTTTCAAACAAAATCAAAGTGTGTTAAATTTAGCAACAACTCAACAACGCACTTTGAATTATTTTTAAAGTGAGTTAATTAAGATTGTACATCAATGTCTTTTTCTGTAACAACGGAGACACTTTACACATTTTGATAAACATTCATCTGTACGTAGAGAGCATTATCTTGTATATCTTTCTGTAAACATATGAAATTATTTATCTTTATCGAGAATGAAGAGAAGACGGGTAGAAGGTATCTTTGACCAACTCTTTATTTTTTCTATACGCAAGCATCGGTAGCAAATTGAAAGTGGATGGGTTTGTGGGTGGGTGTGGGGAACTTAACCACAATAAAGGTAATTCCCATTTTTCAATGCCTTTATCTTTGCAAAAAATGTTTGGAGTTAAGCCCTCTGTCTCCTTCCCCTCCGATTCCACTGACTATGCTACATTCAAATATAGGCTTTTACATATTTGGTACATGCATGACGTTGAAAAATTATACACAAAATACATTAAAAATAGTAGATTTTAAATACAGTAAAAGATTAAAGAGAGGAAGAATTTTCAAAGGATGAAAAATATCAAAATAACCTTCTTAGGAAAAGAAGTTATGCTTAAAGAAGATCAATTATTGTGCTCCCCCTACATTTACCAAACTTATTACTGTAACAGTTTAAAAAACAAATCTAAAAGAAACAAAATTCCGCTATTAAACAATCATTTCTCCATTATCTTTAAAAGGCACTTTTATAGCATTTATGAAATCCTACATGCAACATATTTAAAACGTTTATTTCTCAGATCTTAAAGTGATCTCATTACTGAACCAACCAGTTTCAAATATGTATCATACAAGTACCTACGATTTGCAAGTATATTGACAAAGCCATACACTTTATTATCTATGAAAGTACATTAATATGTTCGATTTAAACTCACACAAATTGCGTTGACTTGGTTCCAAATTTTAAGCCTTATTTTTTGCGAACAGCAATATTTCATTTAAAAGAAATTACAGAATTTTTCTTGAATTGATTTACATTTGAAGTTAAAGTATTTCTCTCTTAGTTGTAAATCTTGTAAACTTTTGAAAAATTACAATTTGTAAATGATACATTTAATATTAATTTTGAAAAGATTGATAAATTGCAGCTTGTAAATTCTACAAAGTTAACGTTGATATTAATTTAATCATTAGTTTTTGCAGAAATTACAGCGACTGACTGGTCCCAAGGCAGGTGGTCCAAAACTACAGCTGCCCTTTTGAACCCCGAAAACAATATTTACAATCAGAGTATTGATTTATTATTCAGTACATACTAGAAAATTTTATTATCGATGAAATGTGCGATATAAATTTAATTATAACACTTACATCTAAACACCAGTAATTAACAACGCATGGAAAGTAAATTACTTAGTTGTATGTTTATTAAATTATCAGCTATTGTTATTTTTAGACAAAATCGAATACAAGTAATTTATATGATGACCTTACTTTGAGATAAAGTTCACTTATGTTCGTTTGCAATTAATGCATGAATACTCATTGATATACTTTTCTTATCCTTAGCAATCACGAAATCGAACATAAGACATCTGATTGTTGCAGCAAGTGCGGGATTTACTTTGGGCATACTTGGATGTTTAAGTGCAACATTAATCATCAATAGATGCAACAGAAAATGTAAATATAAAAGGTGAAATTTGATTTTTTTCATTAAAATTCCATTGTAGAAAGGATATGGATATTAACGAACAGTAATCAATATCAAAGTCCATAAAACAATTCAAAATAGGAACGTAGAAAGCACGGACCTCAGAGGTGGGATCAGGTGCCATGGAGGAGTGAGCACTCCCTGCTGACCGGTCACACCCGCCCTGTGCTCCTTATCATGATCAGGTAATATCGAAAAAAATCCGTCGTCAATTCAGTATAGAGATAATGGACTAACATTTAATATGAAAAAAGTCAGTTAGCATTCGACTTTATGATAAATTGTATTTGCTGACAAGGTCATTGTCTCGACCAAAGAACTTACAATGTACAAAATGATGACTTAAAACGAGACTGCTGACATTTTATTTCATCAACTTTCTTGTCAATAATTGACATCGTTTAAGAAATTGTTCAGAAAGTTTAAGAAAGTTGTAGAGCATAATCTTGAGTATCGAATCAAATGAGATATATGCACTCCGTATGCAGGTGATGAAGGTATTTTACTGCATAAGTAAAGAAAGTGGATGATAGAAAAGTTAAAGTCATCATGTTTATCTTAAAACTTGGTTGTTAGATTACCATTTACGCCCTTTTCAAGTAAAATACTCAGGTATGAAACAGATCAGTCGTACTCTGTAATATCCTTTATCTCAAGCTCACCAGGGTATGTCATATCTACGTAGGAATGGAAATTACCAGAATGATTATTAATTGATAATACGTCTTAGATGCATCTAAATGTCGAGGTGAAGGCCACAGCACGTGTTTTCTTTTTCTCACGCATAAGATTTTGCACAAACTGCTTCATATGAATATAAAAATAGATCTGCTAATAAAGAAGTGTAATTGGTGGCCATTTGAATTCTAATAGATTGTTGGAATAACTGGCCTCCAAAAACCCTCATTGATATTGTCAATCAGAAACAAACAGATGCATCTCTTTGATGTCAACTTCAGAGTACTTGTGAGTGCAATCAGAATGTGTTGTAACAAAATAATTTTGCAAATGACCAATGACGAGGTAAGTAAATGTACGAGTTCCATTTTTATTGGAAAAAAAAACAGCTGTCAAGATATCAAAAAGCTTAGACTTTAATTTATCGTGGGGAATGGCTGTGTATAAAGTTGAAGTCGTAAGTTTTTAAGATGTTGATTTTGGTAAAATCTTGTGATTTCAAATAGTTCAAAAGTTCTTCAGAATTTTTGAGTATCCGCATCTGATTCACACCACTTCTTGAATATATTTTTGCACAGTAGTCTTGAAGTGTTTCCTTCACTACTGTCAGTATCTTAGTGAGAAGTAACGAAAGAGGCTTGGTTGAACATTTACTTATAAATGCATCTTTGTTTATAAGGTTTTTTTTATAAAGTTGAAAATACCCGTGACATATTTATCCAAAGGAGTAGCCTACATTACTTTTAAATATAAATTTAAAATACACAAACGGGATAGAAGTTTATTTTACTCAAAAAATAAAGTATAATTAGGTTGCCTCAGCTGTTCTGTTTGCATAAGGATATATATATCTATGGAATTAATTTTAAGAAGTGTCAATCTATGGAGTTCATAGAGATTTATATTTTTGAGGTAGACCCTCTAGGTATAACAGTTATTTGTCTCGTTTTAATATTGTTATACACATATTCCAATATATTTTAAACATGTATATTTTCCAAGAAAATTAAGTAGGTTTGATCCTTAGCTTTAGGTCAGAGTTTGTTTCCTGTTTTTATTTCCCATCATTTTCCATTTTTACATTAAATCTGGGTTGTACAATGCAAATTAAACTATATTCAATTAAAATTCTACGATTTAATTTAATAGAAGAAATCATAAAGCAAGGAAATATAAGATGTAGCAGAAGGTTTTCATAATGACTAATTGACCTCTTTGAAATAATTAACAGACAGTTAAGTAGTGTATTGATTTCACATGCAGAATACAAATTAAACTCAATTATTATGTTTTGTGAAATGCTCTTGCTAGTATTCAAATATTTATTAAATTCATGCTAATGAGTTTAACAATCATGATTATTATGAAAAATTAAGAAAAATATATTTAAAATTCCAAAAAAAAATATATACATTTTAACTGAAAAAAACCTTAATTTTAGTAATATATAAAAACATACATATTAAAAGTCTCAAGAGTTGATTTTTTTCAGAATATTTAAGATATCATTCTTCTTAAATTCAGTGAAAGTTTGAACCATTAAATTATTTCTTTTCCAGTGAAATTTTTTATCCCGAAAAAAAACCTACTTTTTTGAAAGCAGAAAGTTTTAATTAGAGTTTACGAGGAGTGACGATGATTTTTTTTGTCTTGATTTTAATGATCCTCTTTCAACAACGTAAGCCCCTTTGCTTGTCGTAAAAGGCGACTAAATGGGGCGGTCCTTCGGATGAGACCGTATAAACCGAGGCCCCGTGTCACAGCAGGTGTGGCACGATAAAGATCCCTCCCTGTTTAAAGGCCGTAAGTGCCGAGCATAGGCCCAAATTTGCATCCCTTCACCGGCAATGGCGACGTCTCCATGTCAGTGAAATATTCTGGAGTGTATTGATAAAAATTAATATCAATTGATTATGCAATCTCAAATGTACATGTATAACATAGAATCAAAAAGCACATTTATTTCTTTTTAATCAGACTATTTGTGTATACTTAATTTATACTTGACATTAATTTTCCAAGACTTTTTAAGAATCAAGATCCAACTTCTTCCATGTGTTTCTGTAAAGAAAGTTTTGTTTGGGGTATATAATGAATTTTTTTTTAATTTGTAAACACTTTAATACTTGTTTTTGATAATGCTCGCAAATTTTCTCTGCACGATTTTTTTTAAAAGGATTAAATATATTTTTTTCAGGTGCAAAAAGTTACCGATTGTAAATAATGTGAGCTATGAAAATGATGTAAATTTTTCTCCCCACATGGAAGCAGAAGCCTCATTTTCAAGGGTAAAATATTTCTGTTTATATTTTTTTGATATATACATATATAATAAATCTAGTCATTTGCAATTTCTCTTAATACATACGTTGTCCCCCATTTGTATAACAGAAATTTATAGAGAGAAATGTGAAAATTATTGTAGAATTGTGCACGTAATTATGCTAAAAAAGCTTGTCTTACACGTAAAAGTTCAAAAGAAAAGAAAACTTAGTCTTCCGTTTTTTTTTTAACTTTGCTATTTTATATGCATTTCAGAGCAAAAATTCTCTGCTAACAAGTACATCTTATAAAACAATATTTTAACATTAAATTAAAATTTCATGGAAAAATCAAGGTAAAGTTTGTCTTTTCCTTCAATAAAATATTGCTTACGGCCATAATGTCTTTCAAGGAACAAGTCATATTCACACCAGAATACACAAATGTTGGAGGAACCGAGCATGGAGACTCGGATACATACAACCATCTTCATGAGAGAACTTACAGGCCAGACACGAATGATTATGACCATGTACAGCATATAAGAGGTGTATTGATCAGTAGAACTTTGAAAACTTAGTTTACAAAACTGTAAACAAAAATACTTTCTTTAATTATAAATGCTTGTATTCTGCATATGTGTGTCAATAATATAAATGAGTTAAAGTTGGACAATTTTTATAATTGATGGCTTTATAATGTATCATTGATTATGAATCTTGTATGCATACCTATTACCATATGCCTATTACAGAAAATATACCTACTTATAAACGTATGCACATCATTTTATAAAGAAATTGAGAGGTATCACTTGAAAAAAAAACAAACTGAAAAAAGGAATAATTTCCGTGATTAAAGAAACCTTTACTTTATCAATGCACGGTAGTTAACATGATACGAGTATCTCAAGTTTAATGCAGATTGTTGTTGTTTTCAAATTCTTCACCTTGTAACGAAAGCTTTTAGAAGCTCCGCAACGTTTCATGATATTATCAACCTTTTTGACAATGTTATTAACTATCATCTGTAGCTTATAGACTCTCTAACGTCAGGTTCAATATCTCATTATGCTCAGAAGTACTACACTGAGAATTTAATGAGGTTACATAAAGATCGTGATACATGTACAAAGTCGAAAATAAGTGCGTAATGATGACAATGATTTCTAATAACATCACACTTTACCACTTGAAACATTTGAGGTATATACATTGTTTCTTAGATTTTTATAAAAAATGAAATTCTTGCCATCGAGGATCAATTGGCACAAAAAGGGTTTTAACAGTAGGATGTGACTTCTTCCACTACACAGCATCTTATCCGTCGTCAGAAGGGGTCTGGAAGTGTTTTACCATTCATGTAGATAAAATGAACCTGTATCAACGACGCATCAAGATCAGTTATTCATCACAACATTAACAAAATAGATTTAAATTGGCAATATAACAACCATTAATACTCCTATAAAGTCAGTAAGCTTTCATAGTCGATATATTCACCTTTAGGTAGTATAAAATATTAATGAATGCTATATATTTGCATAAATTTACTGCTCTCTCCCACTATAAACATGTTGTCATCAACAGCATTCATAGGACTTTAGATGCAACAGTTCCTACTATGAGTGCAATTATTGTTCTTTCAAACTTGTGTAGTATAGGCTTTACTACACTTTCAGAACGTGTTAAGAAGTATGTTTATGGAATGTTTCATAAAAGGAATAAATTTTAGTGTTTAATAATATATTTTGGAAAAAAAAGAAATTCAGAACTATTTTAAAATGCTGATTCAAATTTTTAAAAGTTTAATTTTGGTCAATGTATTTAATTGTATAATAAAACTTCTTTAAAAATTGAAGAGAACTGCCATATTTTTATTTTTTCTTATCAAGTTTTTTTTTTTTTGCATATTTGTACAAAGAACGATGACTCTTCACACTTGGGTGACAGCAAAATTTCTTTAATTAGTATGTCTATTTCAAGAATGATTTCAGCTCTAAAAAATAAATAGAAAAAAACTTCAAAAAATTATAGCTTAGCATTCTTATCATCATTATTCAAGCACCCTTTATTCATCATAAGATTAAATTATTGATTTTTTCAGAAGGTTTCGATAATGTTTTTGATCGATGACGTCACAACTGCATCAAAACAAAAATTAAGAAAATGTTACGACGGCGTATCCAGATAAATGTGTTTAATAGGCAAATACTTGATAAATTATTTGTGATTAATAAGAGAAAAGTTGCAATGATCAGGTATACTAATTTTATAGCTGTGTGTTTTTCTTTACTGAAGACAACAAGCCACATCCTTATGTAAGCCGGGATTTCCTCTGATATTCTTGACAACATCAAAGAATGCAAATATAGGTAATAAACAACGATTATTTAGTGAACATGGCATAATGAATAGCAATAGTTCTGCTGGCATAAATTCCATGATGCGCCAGCACGCATCATGGAATATGCCAACAGAGCATTTGTTATTCATAACGCGATGTTCACTAAATAATCGTTGATTATTTCCAATTCAACTCATTTCGTAAAAAGCAGGAGAGAAAAAAAAAGAGAATAAGAATACTATTTTGATAATAATGAATGATCTTTGTAAGAAAAGTGATATCTTTTGGCATGTTTTGTGAAAAAAGAGAATTCTATATTTTTGTCACTTTGGAGCTTACATTTATGAGAGTAATTGCGATATCTAAGCGCAATATGCTAGCATGTTACAGTGAAGTGTAGCTTTTGTTCCGTAAATTGTAGAGGACTGATATTTGGACACATGTTTAAGGTGTCTCCAGTCTTTAGGTACGACGAAGATCAAGGTCACATCAAGAGGTCAAAGGTCAAATATTGTGACTCCATCTACTGAATCTTTAAAAGTCTTTGTCATATTTTTTTCATCGCCAAGGTATCTAAAACCAATGGTTCATTTTTTTTTCATCTTTACATATTTCATTTTAGGACCCATTCGAATCATTCTTTTGATTTTATGTAAAAATGGAATTATACCTTTTCTCTTAAGAAAAGTTTAGTGCTGGATATTTGCATGTGAATTTTCAATTCCGACGCAATGTATGTTTTTTTAACATAATATTTTATAAAAAAAATTTCCAGTATCAATATAACTTTCAGGGTTGAAGTAACAAAAAGGTTGTCTTTATAAACAGCATTATCAAAATTGCAATAGATCAATTAAAAATGTTGAAATATGGTTCATTCTTGAGTCGAATGTCTGTTTTCGCTTTCTTCTTTCGGGGCTCTTATAGGTCATAACTATGTGGGCAAAAAATGTGTGGTTGAATTTCTTTCATACTAAATATATAGAGAGATTTTGTATCCTAGAACAACAAATTCGTCAACACTTTTGTGTACAAAACAATGTAAAGAACCCTTCTTTGTACTTAACAATACCAATGCTTAAGCAGCCTAAATGTCATTCCTATAAACGATAACTCATAAATCGTCACTTCTTTGGTCATTTTTCACACCTGAGTTACCTGTCCTTAAAACACAACATCGTACATATCATTTATAAAGAATTGAACATTTTTAATGATTTAATTATAGGTTTACATAAGTTATTATCTCTTTTGATAATTTCAAGTACCTATAAATATCTCTATAAAATGTTTTACCTCATGTGCAATTTGCAAAAATTTGTAAAAAGTCCTACAAGAGGTGTCCATGAAGTCCAATTTTTCCTCAACAGAACATCTTTGGAAATTAGTTGATGATAAGGTTAACTTTGTTTTTCTTAGCAAATCTCATTTACATCAGGGCGGTATTGTTGGAAAGGTTGAATTTTATCTATATAAGAAGGATGAATACACTGAAAAAACCAATCGCAAACTATGACAGATATATGAGGCAGACGTGGGAAAAAATAATTTCGAATTCTTAAATTTCACTTCCGGGATGAGGGGGCAGGAATGTACCAGGTACCTTTATATGAATTTTAATTACTCATAAATTATCAATAAAAATCGGAATTTTTTTTCTTCCCATCTCATTTAAGATGAAATTAATTACAAGATTGGAAAACCGGAGAATGATTGGAAAAAGTTCAACCCAAAAGTTTACCCTGAGGTTCTTTTGCCTTTCAAGCCGTTCTTAGTCTAAAATTGAACTTTGTATATGTTCCATCCATCCTCCTTTTATCAATCTGTAACATAACTTTACACTGCCTACGTATACTTCGTAATGGTAATAATCATTCTTATTTTTAACTTGTATAAGAAATTTATAAAAATGAATTAAAAACTAGGACACACTCTTCGACATGTCATTCATTCGAATTAAATTGGGACTCTTGCCTTCAGTTCAATTAATATGTTTTATAAATGTGCATGTATGTTGGAGAGATAAGAATTGATATGAATAAAATATATTTGAATTCTAAATGACAGTGACTTAAAAACAAGCCATATTTAATTATTTTCATAAATTAAAAAGCTGTTATTTATCAATATTCAAAAATTAATTACAGCTGTTCTTTTCAATTTAGTTTTCAGGAAAAGTGAAATTCCTGTTGCGGTATTTTTAGCTATATTTGTATAATAGAACAAGGACCACTTGAATCAATACATAAAATGAAATATTATGACATTTCTAGAGTTAGATATTAGACACAATATTTTGACACTATGTTAACAATGAGAAGTACTGTTGTTTGTCTGGGACTTTTCCATTATTCGATTTGCTTGACAAGGCAAGTTATTTTTTGTAGGCAGAGTTATGAATAGGATAATTAATTTGAATGTAATATTTTTGCTTAATAATTTTTGTAAATTTTTAATTTTGTAAATTTAATTAAAAAAAATTAATGTAAACGATCGCAATTTAATAGATGCAAATTTCGACTCTTACCTCTTAACTAGAATTTAGATTAATAATGACGTCCATGTTATCACGTCATAGTTAAAAGACAACGTCAAAAGTTGGCGCCAAAAATGTACCAATGGAACGGCAAAATAAATAAACTTGATACTGTTAATTACAAACAATAATAATTAATAATTTTAAAGTATGAAAACAATTTTTACAGCTATATTCATGCAATTAAGATATTGATCTCTTTATCTGTTTAGTTTAGGCTTCCATTTATCAATGGAATATTGTTCCTTGGTCACTGATCATTTTCCTCTGTAATTTTATAGAATGGAACGATACTAAGAAGTATTTTGGCACATTTTTCAAAATTTATATAAATATTAGATGAAAACGTATCTTTACTTTCAATGTTTTTTTTTATCCTAATCAAGTTTTAATCAGTAGTAGACATTATGCAAAGTTCCTTAATTCATGAAGGGGAATCAGGTGCCTAGAAAGAGTAAGCACCCCCTGTTGCCCGGTTTCAACAACCGTACGCCTTATGCACTGAACATGTCCTCGGAAATATCCCTAGTCATTCTGGTTCAGAAAGGGTGATATTAATTTATAGGCTTAATTTTTTTACGAATTGAGCATGTTCGCAAAAATTAAAATCATCGAAGGTACATGTACAATTTGATATTAATCATTGTTAGCGCTTTGATTGCGTTTACATAGAAAAAATGCGTCTAGACAACCTGCAATAAAAAAAATATATACTGTTTCCATTATAACCATTCATTAAATTATTATATATTTGCACTTTACCTTTATTTAGCTTATTTCCTTTATT